CCCCCCCCCCCCCCCCCCTCTCCCCGTCAGTGATAACCAACAGAAAGCCTGACGAGGCAGTGTGCAGCGGGGAACCAGGACACGGCGGCTAAATGCAACGGCACACCAACAACCTTTCGGCGCTCAGCCCCACCTGTGGTGCAAGCTCACGCCAAACGACAGGGGTTTTAACATCGTAAATAGTAAGACAAGACAATGGGTATCGCGCGATGAGGTAAACTAAACCGACCCTCTTATGCGTATGCACAGCCCTACGTGGCAAATCCAAAACAGAAAGCCAAAACAGATATCCAACCAGACTTAGGCTTCAGTCATCACCAGTCAGGTCAATAACCTCGAATGGACGGTTCTTGGCGCCTCGGGAAGACGCCGCTGGCGGCCCAATCTCCGTCTTAATCGTGACAACGTTTGTTTTCCCCCTAGAATGACTCGGCGGCGTAGGGATTGCGTTGAGGCGGGCCGAGGAGATCGGGCCGAAGACGCGCGGAGATGGGGAGGAAGGCTGCATTGAGGCTGCAGTGGCCCGGGGGGCTGAAACGCTCACCGACGGTCTCGGTCCCCTTGATGCGCTACCAGACGTAACACGGCTGCCCAGCAAGCTTCTCGGTGAGCCTTGCAAGGCTGTGGGTTGTGCCGAGGATGGGGTCCTGGGAGCCGGGGCCTTTGGGGTAGAACGCGGCGATAGTTTGATGCCGAGACCAGGGTTGGGTGCATCCGCTCTTGGGCGCCTTCGGTCCCGGACCAGTAGGACTTGAGCTCCTTGAAACGCATCGAGTTCCACGCCCTTGACATAGCCTGCACATTGGTGTCGGTGGCCGCCGAGGGGTAAGTCGGCGATGGAGTGGCTGGAGTTAAGAGTCCATCTCGGCCGTGATTGGCCTTCTTGGGGTTGCGTGGAGTGGGTGCACTCGCGTAGGGAGCAGGTGCTGCTTGACTGGTCGAGTAAGACGAGGGAATGGGGCTGTTGCTAGAATGATGGTGCCCTTGTACATTCGGTCGACGAACGCTTCCTAACCGATGTGCTGAGCCGGGCGAAGCTGTTGGGGCCATCCAAGCAGGAAGTTGGCGTCGCTTGGGCGGATCTTTCAGTTTAGGTAAGTGGTCTAAACTCTCGATGGGAACAGGGGAAGGCACTTGAGACGAATGAGTAGATTGGAAGCCCCGAATTCGGGCGTACTCGACACCGAGAATTTGACGCAAGGCCGAGCCGTCCAACCTTCATATGTTAATGCTTGCTCTTTCTTGGTTTTTCGGCCCAGCTCCTCCGGCTCGGGGCATCGACGTTCTGCAGCTTCCTGACGACAAGCGAACCGTCCTCGATTGCGAAGAGACATCCATTGTCCTTGTAAGCGTGGGGTATCAGATACGTATTGAGATGGTGCACCTTCGACCGTGAGACCGGGGGGAAGCAAGCCGCGGGGACGCTGCTTTTGAGAAAACGATAGAACAAGTGACAGAGATCGCAGCAACATGTCAAAGCGGCCGACAATGCGAGAAACAGGCCGGGCGTCAAGAGGTCCGCAGAACGACGGTAAGGTATGGTGTGGGAGAGGGTGCTGTAGGGCCCTCTCGACAGGCTTATTGATTCGATGCCCCGGCGGCTGGGTAGAGTGCAAAAGGTAAAGGGCTCGTGTGCCAGATATTGAAGCCCTGCTAAATGTCTACATTTTCTAGTATTTCATTTTCCAATTCCGGTTATTTTGATTGAGTTGTGGTTGTCACAATGTGGGTGGTGGTCATGCGGGCCAAGACGGAAGTGTGAACGTACTTCCCGACTATAGCTTTAACTTGACTCTATCCTCCCCTCTGACCTGACTCGGTCCTCCCCTTCATCATCTGATTCTGCAAACCGAACTCGAGCTCTCTTCTTCACCGGAGCGCCACCACCATCCGTAGTCAGCGTGTCCACACCCAACACTGGACCTTCCATGTCACCCGGAGATCTCCTCTTTCTCTCCTCCTCCGGCACCACCACTCCATTCCTCCTCCCTTCCACTCCACCACCCACCGCAATCAGGTCCTCATCCGGGTGCTTTCAACCCACCCCCCACCGACAACCCCCCAAAAATCCTCAACGGCCTCTCCAACCTCGCCATCTCCCCCTCCCCAGTAGCACCACCCCCTTCCGCCATCCCCTCCCCCATCCCCAAAACCCTCACATTCAAAATCCACTCATAAATCGGCTTATCATCCAAAATCGACCGACACCGCCACACCTCGCCCGCCGACATCTCGGCCCTGCGACGCACGACCACCTCCTCGACGCTGCCGCGCAGCACCAGGGTCTCGACGGCGACGGGCCGCCGCTGGCTGATGCGCCGGGCCCGCCCGATCGCCTGCGCCTCGACCTGCGGGTTGAGCACCGGGCTGAGGGAAGTAGATGCGCGAGGCGGATTGCATGTCTAGCCCGAAGGCCGCTTGGGTGATGTCCATGAGGAGGAACGCTGGTTTGTGGGGAAGGGGGGTTAGTGTGGGGTGTTTGTTTTGGGGGTGGCGGGGGAGGTGGTTTACCGGAACCTGGGGTTGTGGGTTTGAAGGTTTGTGGCGTACTGGGGCTCTTTCTTTGCTGGGGTGGAGGCCCTTTGGCATAGATTAGGTGCTGGACTTGGAGCTGTTGTTGACGAGTTAGCAGAGTGAGGCTGGGTGAGGAAGGAGGAATCAAAAAAAACGCCCACTATCTCGAGAACACCGGCAATGTAGTATGCCACATTATCGTTTTCGTAAAAGATGATGATTTGTTCCGAATCTTGGTACTTCACAATCTGGTCGATCAGGTAGGAAAGCTTCGCGGAGGCTGTCGAAATGAGCTGGGTCTGGGCAAGTTGCGCGGCGACGCCCGATCCATGGTTCTCCAGACCTGAAGTGACTTGTGTTTCTTCCGTCTTTGGCAGCCCCTTGGTAAAAACGGAAGAGCGCCGTTTGTTCGAAGGATTGCTATCTTGGCCCAGCGGCGTGTTCCCAGCAAGCGTCTTCGGTGGCCGTCTCTCGGTTTCCGGGGCCTGCTCCTCAACCCCCTTCAATCGTTCCTCCCACCCACGTGCGGCAAACCGTCCAGTCTCGAACATAATCTGTAGTGATGCTGGGGCATCAACCAAGGGGTGAAGGAACTTCTGAAGTTCCAATATCATACGCGAGTCTGTGCATACTGGATCTCCCTCGCGTAGGTCGAGGGACCACTCCCGGCCTGCGTTCCAGGGAAAGTTTTGGACGTACAGTGGGACTTCGCGGAATAAATTGGCACATCGTTTGATGTTGTTCTTCTCAGCCAATCGTCCAAATTCGATGGCATCGCGCAACAGAGCCTCGTCCTCGGTGCTAATTTGAATCTCGCCCTCTTGCAAAAAAGTTTCGGCAGTGGCTATGGCTTTTTGGATCTGGTCGGGCGAAAAGAAAGAACCCCCAAAGAAGCTCGCCTGCTTGAGATTGTACACGAGCTCAAGCAACGACTTTCGCTGCCGGGGGTGAAAAAAGTAATCCTGGTCTGTTCGTTGTGACTGGACAGCGTTGAAGATGATCATCATGGAAAAGAGGTTGAGCACCAGTCGATCTTGAAAGCACCCGTCGAGGTACACTACCTTCTCGTCAACGGACGGGAGTAAAGTACCGAGATCAGGGAGACGATTTCTAATGATGAATGACTCCAGGGTTGCCTTGAGACAGTCGGAGCGGCCGATACCTCGAGGGTGGGTTAAGTGTGGCTGCATGACATAAACGGCCCATTCCGCTGGTGGATCTCTTGCCTCGGTGGACATTTTTGCCCAGGGCTGCATGCGCACATACAACATAGCGATCGAGCCGATGCGTTTTAGATCATCCTTCTCGAGGCTCAGGGAAGTTTCGGCCCGCCGTTCATCGTCGGAATGCGGGCTAGGCGTGTCGTTGACTCCGAACAGTCCCTTGGATGGCGTTCCAGTCACGATCCACCTAGCCGAAATTTGCAGCTGGTCGATTATCAGATGCAAATTGCTCTTCCTTCCTAGTGTCGAGTTGCCCAGCCTGTGGCCCTCGTCAACGATACACCGTTTGAAGTGGATCGATGCTAGGGGGCTCATGAGAACTTTGGGTTCATTATGTTCGACGTCGACATCACCCAATAATTTTTCAAATGGGGTCGACGAAAATAGGATAATGTCATATTCGACAAGCTTTTCAACTGGCGGTAGAACCTGCTTCTTGTCGACAGTCAAGACTTCTAAACCGGACGTGTGTTTGGCGATTTCTTCCTTCCACTGCTGTACCAGGTTTGGGGGCACAATCACAAGGGAAGTGTGACTGAGATACACCTTTTTGGGAACACCCCATGCTGACGGGTATCGCCTTCCTCGGTAAAGAGATCGGGGTCGCCGGGGGAGATGATAGAACGCAGGATTTCGTCGAATTGCGTCGACACACAGAGGGTAGTCGATGCCGTCTGGCTCGAGAGCGCCAAATACCGTTCTCCAGGGAACTGAATGGCGAGTGATGCAAGAGGCAGCCATATCAGCAAGGCTCCCAATCTTAGGGCGGACAACAGGCTTGTTGGCACGCAAATGGTCGGGTGTGGCGGAAGGGATATGTCTGGTCGCCAGAATGAGGGCGAGACAGATGAGGGTTTTCCCCGCGCCCATTTCTTCGGCAAGAATACCGCCACAAGGTGCGTCGTAGTATCGAGGTTCGCGCAGCCCGCTTCCGATGACCGGGTCGTAGTACCAAGGTTTCCCCAACTGATCGACGACCTTCATCAGACGCGGGTCCAGCACCTTCCGGCTCTGAGACTCCCTCTGAAGCATTAAGGCTGCGGACCGGCGTTGGTACGCATAGAGAGTGGTTGACAGGCCCAGCATCTTGCTGTTTATCAGCGCGTAGGCGGCATCGCGGGCGTCATAGTCGGGAATGGCGTCTGGGTCCGGTTGAGGAGACGGTATGCTGTTGAACATCTGCAACAAAGATTGCTTCTCACGGTTTTGCGAGTCGGCCGTTCCCTGGGGACTTCCAAACATCAATGGGCTTTGAGACGGTTTACCCTTCGATTGACCCTGCCAGGTACTCCCCGAAAAGTCCAGCTGTGCTAGGAGGCCCAATCTCGCCTTCAACAGAGACGGTCTCCGACGAGGTATGGTGCGGTTTCCAACATCGTCTGGAAGAAGGTAGACACGGATAATGACGTGCTCATTTGAAGCAAGACTCATATGAATCCAGCGGTTGCGCAGCAGGTCGGCGAAGGATGAAAGACACCCAGAGGATATGAGCTGATGTTGGATATCTTGTTCCAGAAACCGGAAGGATAGGTTTTTGTCGACCTGGCCGACCTGGCCAACCTGGCCGGCTTGACCTTCGATTCCATCCTCCACATCACTTCTAAAAGGGCCAAAGTGATGCCATTGTCCTGGCTCAATGAACGACAAAATCCCCACGGGAAGTCGCGAGTCGGACTTGTCCAGAACCAGGCACCCCGCCGCAATGTGGGACCCTAACTCCATTGGCAGTCTTGGTTTCGGGGATGGAAAAGCTAAAGTGGAAGGACTTGCCGCCTCCCGCGCTGAAGCATTGTCGAGTCTGATGAAAATTGCAATGGCGTACTCCGTGGACTGTTGCCTGGCGTGTCAGAGCAGGCACGATGAAGCCAATGCCAAGCGATAACATGGCTTGGAGCTGCGCGGTACAAGTGGGTCTGGGGTGCATGAGGAATCCATCTTTGATTGGTGGTGTTTATGGGGGTGAGCAAAGGATTGGCTGCTGAAGATGGGAGGAAGGAACCTCAGTTTCCCATCTTGCCATCCAAGCCATCATTCCCCGTTGTGCAGCTGTGAGGAAGCTTGCTTTGGAACTAAGATGCTGCATAATAAAGTCTTTCGAGTACCAAGGACTACCTATTTTGTAAGCCGAAGCTTATCAATGCCTTAGTTTCTACGTCAAAGCCGCAGAAACCTCTCGAGGAACGTATGTACAATTTCACGAAGCCACTCCCTTTAGGTCCTTACCGGGTACCTGGATACCTCCCTCGCTCCGGCTTTCCCGTCGTTTCCCTTCTCATCTTCCGTCCTCCCGAGCTTTAATGTCCACCTTCGTCCTAAAACATTGATTATTCTCTCCTGCCATTTCATTAATATGAGTGCCTAGTTAAAGAGAATGGTGACTAATTTGAATTGGTAGAGCGAGATCGTTCCCTTGACGACCGAGTGTGTACTTGTAGGAGGTACCTGCCGTGGATGGGGATGGGTCCAGCACGCACGTGAGGCCAATTTCCCTTGGTCCCTGGGCCGTGGTCCATGCCAAACAAAACACCATTTTCAGCCCACCAGTGGGGTTACGCGAGGAACTTGAACTTGAACGAAACACAAATCAACACCTATCGCGGCCACAAGTTAAGGCCCGATACAAGTCCAAAACCCGAGTTAGCGAAATTGAATCGACCCGAATTCAGCACCGACAAACCACTGCACCGCTCCGCCGCATTGAGACCCAGGAACGCGGGAATCTTGCACGCTCCTCTTGTCCGTACCCGGCGCGACACGGTTCGTCATGTCATTGCTTGGGCTCCCCGGCCCACCCGAACACACGGACAATGATGAGCTTGCGGGACCCGTTTCTTCTTCGGCATGATCGATTAGTTTATGGGAGGCGTGGGGCCTAGGCTTGTTCAGCCGGAGCAAAATGGCCGTCCCCTCGGCGACAAACTTCGAACATGACAACAGGGCAACATGAAGTGGCAAGCAGCTTCCTTCTCCGGCTTCCTTTTGGCTTCTTACGGTGCCTATCTGGTCCATCTAGCGAACTTCTTCGAGATACATGGGCGGGCAGGCAACAACTGGCTGATCCGGAATGGGTTGCCGACCCTCGAAACGGACGGCCCCACGCACTGCACCGCGCGCGCCAAGCCCGCCCCCAGGGCCCGGAACGACACAACGGGGTACCGGGACTGCGACACAACACAGCGCGGGGTCCGTGATGTCGACTGCGCCTTTCCCGATTCGGACAGGAGTGCTTGTCTCAATGATCGACCTTCTCTCTCAGGCGCCGAGGGTCAATGCTCCCCGACTTGGCTATGCGGTTTGCCATTTCTGCGACCGCTACCGTCTTGTCAAGCGGGGTGGGAAACGGAATCTGTCATGAACCTCCCTTTTCAATGGCCGGTGTCGGGGACCCCTTGCGCATTGAGGGCTATGACAAAAAAAAGCATGGCTTTTCTGTCTATTCTCTATTCAGGCACCTCCTATCTGTGGACGGGGTCTGCTTCACCTCATCTCGATCCCTAGGGGAACCAGAAGATTATCAACAATGGGTTGAATGACAATGGCCGGCCGACGAAACCCCTCACAGCCCGTGTACTGTGTAGGGAAGGGACTCAATTCCGTGGACCTCAAACGGTACGCAGTATGGGCTGCGGCCAGGCGGCTACCAACCAGATCGGTTACCGTCACCGGAAACAAAGCATGTGTGTCCGTCTGTCAGATGGCCTGGTACCCATCCGATTCATCCAGATCGACCTCACGCCCCCTGCCCAATGGTACATCCCGGACAGAGGAACAAGCGCCCTTCGCTAATCTCTTTGCACCAGCTTCGGGCGCTCTCCGGGTCACGTCCGTGCTCGAGCTTGGGGTCCCGGACAGGACCTTGCTTGTTTTCCTGCGGCTAGTCCCATTTCCAGCCCATGATACCCGCGCCCCCGGTCCAGCGCCGAGTCGCGGATCAACCTCACGCTTCAAATCAGGCCGATGGCCGTTTATGCTTGCCATCCCGTGCGGCAGCGAAGCGGATATCCGGGCTGTGCTGCTGGTCAATCATCCTCAAGGCGTTTGCTGCCTTTCTTGAACGTTGCAACCGGCCTGTTAACTGTCATTCCCCGACCCCGGCCGCCCATTCTTGGTTTGCCCACCCTGTCCGGAAATCGGCCGCTAGTGCGTGTGGATGAGCCTGTCCTCCGAGTTGTCGACCTCAGGGGGTGGGTATCTGGGCTTCGACTGGTACCAGGAGAGGAAACCGGTGTGAAACCAGAGCACACACTTTGCTTGAGCCCTGTTAGCTGCCACAGGAGTAAAACAACGTCGGCCTCCTAGCTCCAAGGGCGTTGCGGACATATCCTAGTCCTATTCGCGGCGGGATAATTCCTGGTCTCTCCGGGCGGGATCGCCATTATCACGCAAATCCCTTACCAGCCGTTGAGCCCTGCTGTTGAGCCCAAAACGACTCACTACCCTGCACGACACCCACCAGTCATTGCCGTTTCGAGATGACGTGCAGATGTTTTTCATGCACCCCATGGGAAACGGGCCTACGAAATATCGGTCCACCCAAGGACGCCGTTGGTTTCCACCAGGGACGCTCGCGGCGTCCAGCGCCCGGCCTATACACCCCGTATCCAGAAGCGGCGGCCAGCAGTCGGCCAAGATCCTGTGGCCAGGTCCACAGTCTTAACACATCCTCTATGGCTGCGGTTCTGTCATCATGAGGGGGGTGTAGGGAGTGGGGAGGGAGGAGGGCGTGAGGGGAGCGTGGGCATCGGCTCTAGGCTATAGTCTACCGCTGCTATACTTCCCCTCCTGCCCATACCCTTGGCTTTCCGCAAGACGAGTTGGCTACTGCCGCAGCCGCCGGGCTACCGTGGGGGGTCGGATAGCGCTGCCAACTCATCATGGTGCCATTACTGATGGGGTCCGATCCATCCTGTTGGTCCATCCGTCCCTTCTCGGGTCGGCCCCGTTGGCCGAGAGGCGGAGCGGAAGCCCTTCACACCCTCCCTCCCCCTTCCTGCATGTCTTCGTAACCGCTTCTCATCCCACGGCGGCTTTGAACCACGCCACCACGAGTTCTGGTTGTCGGCGCATGGGCTGATAACTCATATTTTTCTCGGCGATGGCACAGAGTGGTCAATGATTACGCCGTGTTGGCGGTTTCTGACTGGACTGTCGCCGGGCTGCTGACCTCAGAAGAGGCCAGACACAATCTACGGCGATATTAGACACGGCCAACCAACCAGCCCTGCCAACGAGGTCGAGGTCTGTGGTCAGACGCCATGTCGCCTCGCGGAATTGGGTCTCCGAGAGCGCGAGGTGAGCAAAACTGGACACCACCTCGCCCCCACCAACCAACCCCCCCAATGGATGGGGGAAACCTGATCATGGGGCACTCAAGTGACTGTATTTGGACCCTCCCATCCCAGATTGCGGGCTTAAGACATGCAATAAGGGGCCCAGCCGTGAGGACTCGGACCTTCGACAAAGAGACTTGCATGGTGGGTGTGGTGGACCTTCGCTGCCACACCCCAGTACAGTCCTAGGGTTCTCTTGCCTCATGGACAGCCCACACACACCTTATCCCTCCATCCTTCCAGTGAAGCACCGATCTTTGGCTCTCCTCAGCACGAGAAGCATGCTCTCAGCTCTCACCCCCTCGGCACTCAGTTGACCGAACCAGGAATGTCGTCCAATCCAGGGGATTTCTGTTCTAATCACGAGTAATCCGCCTTCCACCATGAGAAACGGCCCGAAACCATACATCCCTATCACACCCTCCCTACCTACCTGCCGTGCCCTGCTCATGTTAACGCGGGGCAACACCCAAAAAAGATAGACAGACAACACCCACCCAACGGAAGTATTTCGGGATCCCCACGGGTGGTGTGGTGTGGTGCGGTTGACATTGCCCCCCCCCCCCGTCACGTCACGTTTTGGGGGCATTCCATCCAGTCTTGCCCCCCCCCCCCCCTCCTAGCGCCCTAATGCACGTCGACGCGTCTGGAAGCATGCCGACTTTGACAGAGGAGGCAGGTACCCGAGACAACTGACGAAAGACGAAAGTAGTGATGCTACCGGCCACCCACCCACCAACCCCATCCCGTGAGCGTGAGCGAGATGACACGGCCATGTCGTAATTGACGGCTATCAACGGGGTTCAGTCAGTCAGACAACCAAACACACACAACATGCGGGAGACAAATGGATTGGGGTGACGATGGTGGTGATGATAATGATGACTTGTTTCTTCTTCTCCTATGGCTGATGCTATTCCCACCCTAGGTACCGAGCCGAGCACTGTTCCGATCCCGCCAATGGACACAACACAATCTTCTCCTTTGTGTGCCTGCCTCCGTAGATGCAATGACGACTCACCCCTTCCCACTTCTCGAGGCCGGTGTCGGGGCCATCAAGCAAGACCTTGAGCTGTCTGAGCCGTCTGAGCCGTCCTTTCGTCCCCTTCGTCAGGCTTCATCCCGCATGCTGCCGGCCGTCCCGAGACTGCACAGACACCCCGACATACGTAAATTACATACATACATGCAAGTCATGCCATTCAACGTATCATTCCGGCCCGTTCCGGCTGGGTAAGAGGAGGAAACAAAACAAGAAAAGGGGGGCAGGAGAGATAGGCGCTCGGTGTATGTTCCGTGGTATCATCCGCGTCGCTACGCTGTGCTGGTAAAGACTGCTTGTGTGGGGGTGCCTTGATGCGGCTCGTGGGTGGTTAGTTGGTTGGTTTGGTGGTGGTGCCGGTCCGGGAAAACGCCGCCTGATGATGGTGGGTGTTGGTGGGGAAAATATGGAACAAAGAAAAAATGCGAAGATGAAAAATAGGCCGTTAGTTTTTTCGCTTCGTGACTTCATTACAATGGTGTAAGTTCTTTCCGGGTATCGTTCAACGGTGGTGAAGGTGGTTGTTGTAAGAGGACTGGCGTGTAGGTTGATGGAGATCGGGAGCGGGTAGTGTGTGCCGTGGTACTGATGGTTTGCCGTGTCTTCGTCTGCCAGGTTTGGACCAGCTCGATCCAGCTGATTCCAATTCGGCAAGTGAGTTGGTTGGTGGTTGCCTCGGCCTCTTTGTCTGCACCATCTCATCCATGGCTCTACCGCCCGGCCATGTTTCACCCCTGAGTAGGACGAAGTTGTAAGGGAAAAAGGTCAAGTCTGGTGGTACAGCAGGTCGGCAGCGCAACTCCTTGGTCCCACTCCACACGCACGCAAAAGAGTCATTCGGCCGACTGCTTCAGCCGCCGTGGCATATCGGGCACTCTCCCGGGAGCATGATGTAGCGTTCATGCGGACCATTGGGGCAAGAGCGCTTGCGGCTGCCGTCGACCGAGGTGCGGAAGAAGTGGGCCCCGGGGTCGACACACGAGGTGTAGATGTAGTAGTTCTTGGTGAAGTCACACATGGTGAGTGACTGAAGGATAGTCAAGTATCCGGTGTGAAGTAGATGGATAGTGAGTAAGTAGTATTGGTTGTAGAGCGGGCTGGGCAAGTGTGTTAGCTTCTGAGGACCGAAGATGGGGATGGTGAGTCCAGAAGGGAGAACCTACAGGTAGATAGATATAAATGAAGGCGCTGGAGCAGGGTCGGCTGGGCGGTTGGCAAGGCGGGACCCTCCTGGGATGCAACGGCGGGATGTCGGGGGAGGCCGATGAGCTGATGTTGATGATGGGATGGTTGATGCTGCCGAGGGGCAAGGAAGGACCCGGAAGCCGGCGCTGACTTATATAAACAACAGGACCAGGAAGAAGGGGTATATCAGAGAATGGGGCCACTGCATATGGGTCCACCCAGATGGAGACAACCGGAGTAAAAGCAAGACGACGAAGCAAAAATCAAGAAGGGACTAAAGGATCCTCAATGCACAATTTCCACCCACTGTGGTGAACATCGGATCTGTTTGTTGTGTCGGCCGGGCCGCCG